GAGCAGTTACCAGTCACATCAATTCTTTCAAAGTATATTGATGAGTCACTGTGTGTTTGTTATTTGGTTCATCCACAGTCTAGCAGAGTATGTAGTTGATTCTTTGTCTCCAAGTGATAAATCCACACGACAGTTTGCAAAAATAGGTCATCAAAAAAGGGAGGAGCTGGGTGGTGGCTAGCACCTGTAATCCCAGCTACTGGGGAGGCTGAGGTGGGAGGATCGCTTGAGCCCGAGTTAGAGAGCAGCCTGGGCAATACGGTGAAACCCTGACTGTAACAACAAAAAAAAAAAAAAAAAAAATAAAAAAAAAAAGTATTAAAAAAAACTTTTAATTTAAAAAGAAGGTACTGCTCATTAGCCAGGAATGGTGGCGGGCACCTGTAATCCCAGCTACTCAGGAGGTTGAGGCAGGAGAATCACTTGAAGCCGGGAGGCAGGGGTTGCAGTGAGCCAAGGTTGCACCACTGCACTCCAGCCTGGATGACAGAGTCAAAAAAAAAAAAAGAGGGAATTGCTCAATGAAGATGAAAGTGAAGCAAAGAAAGAAAAAGTGATATTGTTAGAAGTGGAATTGGATGTGAGTAGAAGATACCCCACTTGGGAAATGTTGATCCTGCTGTCATTCTTGAGATAAGATATGAAGCCAGAGGAATTTTGTGAAGGGGAATTTATCGACATAAATGTGGAACATGATTGTGAAAAAAAGGATAAAGATATCCCAGAGAAAGTGATGTCTGCAGAAAAACTTCACATTAAAGAGATCCCTCAGATTTCACAGCATTGAAAACACAAAAGATAAAACCTTGTAAGCAAAAATAAGTTGTCAAATTGTACTACCCAGAGAGCTGGGACCTAAATCAATAGGCTTTCAGGGAATTAGGGGTTGACAAATTGTATATTAAATTGGGAATGTGTTCGTTCAGAAATTGTTGTGTCTTATATGCATTACCTTTATCCTCTAAAGTTTTATTTCCTCTTGGTTGACATTCTTAATAAGTAATTGATCTTATAATAATATTTAAATCATTGTCTTTTTTCTAAAACATAGAAATACTTCTGAATTTTCTTAATTAAGCCAGAAAAGGATTTTTGGTGCTTCTCTCACATTTATGTTGGTTAAAAAGAAGGAAGGGGAGGAGAAAAGAGAGAGAAACGGGAAGACTCTCGCTTCCATGTTTTTTCTTTTTTCTTCTCTTCAGACAGGGTCTCATTCTGGAGCCTTGACCTCTCCTGGGCTCAAGCGATCCTCCCATCTTAGCCTCCTGAGTAGCTGGGGCTACAGACATGTGCCACCATGCCTGGCTAATTTTTGTATTTTTGTAGAGACGAGGTCTCTGCTATGTTGCCCAGGCTGGTCTCAAACTCTTGGCCTCAAGTAATCTGGTCACCTGGGTATCCCAAAGTGTGGGGATTACAGGCTTGATTCATCATGCTTGGGATCAATTTTTTTATTTTTTATTTTTTAGACAGAGTTTCACTCTTGTTGCCCAGGTTGGAGTGCAATGGCACAATTTCAGCTCACTGCAACATTTGCCTCCCGGGTTCAAGCGATTCTCCTGCCTCAGCCTCCTGAGTAGCTGGGATTACAGGCATGCGCCACCACGACCGGCTAATTTTGTATTTTTAGTAGAGATGGGGTGTCTCCATGTTGGTCAGGCTGGTCTCAAACTCCCAACCTCAGGTGATCTGCCTGCCTTGGCCTTCCAAAGCGCTAGGATTACAGGTGTGAGCCACCGTGCCTGGCCCACGTTTTCTTTTTTGTGTAGTACATAATTACTATCTTAGGGATTCAATTCTTCTATGTCTTAGTCTTTTTTTATTATTTTTTATTTTTATTATTATATTTTTAATAGAGATGGGTTTTTGCTGTATTGCTCAGGCTGTTCTCTAACTCCTGAGCTCAGGAAATCCTCCTGCCTCAGCCTCCCAAAGTGCTGGGATTACAGGCATGAGCCACCGTGCCCAGCGTATTTTAGTCATTTTAAATGTGCTCATTTCATGTTCTCTTTCAGATAATCTTTCCATAATCCGAAATTCACGACCATGCACCTGGCTGTTTGTTGTTGGGACTGACTCACAGGCATGGTGAGCAGTTTCCATGTATGTCTGGAGCATAAGTTCATCAGTAGCAGGGCTTGCTTTTTCCTGAGATAATTCATCGTGAGAAAGAGTCCTGGCACGTCTGTTCTCTGTTGACTTCTGCTGAGAGTCTTGGAACGTCACTGGGCTTGTACACATTTCTATAAGTTCTCATATTAGAGTTTGAGGTACCACATAGGTAAAAAAATTCAAACTCTAAACCCCTATGAGAAACTAAACTCTGAGATGTTAACAGTGAGGGAACACGGGTGAAACAAATATGGAGAAACTCTGTGTACTACCTGTAGCTTTTCTGCAAACTTACAGTTATTCCAAAATAAAAAGTATTCTTTAGGCCGGGCACAGTGGCTCATGCCTGTAATCCCAGCACTTCGGGAGGCCGAGGAGGGTGAATCACTTGAGATCAGGAGTTTGAAACCAGCCTGGCCACCATGGCGAAACCCCGTCTCTACTAAAAATACAAAAATTAGCCGGGTGTGGTGGCGCGTGCCTGTAATCCCAGCTACTCGGGAGGCTGAGGCAGGAGAATTGCTTGAACCTGGGAGGCAAAAGTGCAGGGAGCTGAGATTGTGCCACTGCACTTCAGCTGGGGCGACAAAGTGAGACTCTGTCTCACATATGTATGCATATGTATACACACATACACACACACACACACACATATATATATATATATATTTTTTTTTTTTTAACGAAGCCCCTAGATTACTAAAGCCAATTCAACCCTTAGGTAGTTTGGAAGGAAAATAAATCTCCCCAAAATCAAAGTCAAGCTGGGAACTGCGTAGGGCAAACCTGCCTCCCATTCTATTCCTAAATAAGATAACTACAAAGAGTTTAAAAAGCTACATACCTCCCTCACAATCTGCCCACCAGGAAATTCCCTGTGGACAAAGTACAGGCTGAACTCAAAGTCATCGCTCTGCTCACATGAGACAAATGCATATCTGATTGCTTCCTTTGCCCTGCTGTTTCACCAAGCCAGACTAAGACATAAGTGACTATTCTGGTAAATTGTGCCTTCAGTGAAAGGCTAATCAGAAGCTCAAAAGAAAACATTTGTCTCTTGTCTGCCTATGACCTGAAAACCTCCTCCTTGCTTCGAGTTGTCCCGCCTTTCTGGACTGAACCAATGTACATCTTACAATGTACATCTGACATGTCTCATGCCTCCCTAAAGTGTATAAAGCCAAACTGTGCCCCAACCCTCTTGGGGCACCTGTTGTCAGGATGTCCTGAGGCTGTGTCACAGGTGCATCCTTAACCTTGACAAAATAAAGTTTCTAAATTGAATGAGACCTGTCTCAGACACCTTTTGGCTTACAGTAGTCAGAGTCAGCTTATATCCTTGTTGGTCTTCACTTTCCTCCTCATTTGATATATCTGCTGATAGTCCTTTTGCCTTGCACGCTCAGCTATGAATTTAAAATAATTTGTGTTCACCAGGTTCAGTGGCTCACATCCGTAATCCCAGTGACTCAGGAGGCTGAGACAGGAGGATTGCTTGAGATCAGCAATTCGAGACCAGTCTAGGCAATATAGCAAGATCCCCATTTCTTAAAAAATTAGCCAGGTGTGGTGGCACATGCCTGTAGTCCCAGCTACTCAGGAGACTAAGGTCAGACTATAGCTTGAGCCCAGGAGTTTGAGGCTGTGGTGAGCTACGATTGCACCACTGCACTCCAACCTGGGCAACAGGCCAAGACCCTGCCTCTGAAAAAGAAAAATTGTGTCATAATTTATCTAGTATTTGTGAAAGTTATCAGGTCATATTAATTCACTACACATAGCCTTAATACCACATTTTCTCTTTAACCTGCACTAATCAAGCTTTCATCCCTACCACTGAATTTGTTCTAGTCAACATTACCAATAGCATCTATCTTGCAAATCCAGTGGTCATTTCTTAGTAGTCATATTAATATTTCATCAGCATTTAAACCTTCGAGAAATCCCTCCTTGAAACTCCATATTCTCTTGGTTTGTCACACTCTCTTCTTTTTCCTACCTCTCCTCAGTCTTCTCTGTGGACTCATATTCCTTTGCTGACCTTTAAATGTTGAATATGGCCAGGCGCGTTGGCTCACGCCTGTAATCCCTGCACTTTGGGAGGCCAAGATGGGCGGGTCACCTGAGGTCAGGAGTTCGAGATCAGTCTGGCCAACAAGGTGAAACCCTGTCTCTACTAAAAATACAAAAATTAGCCGGGCATGGTTGCAGGCACCTGTAATCCCAGCTACTCGAGAGGCTGAGGCAAGAGAATCACTTGAACCCCGGAGGCGGAGGTTGCAGTGAGCCGAGACCTTGCCATCGTACTCCAGCCTGGGCAACAAGAGTGAAACTGCATCTCAAAAAAATTAAATAAATAAAAATAAATGTTGAATATTTCTGGACTCAGTCCTCTATCCAGTCTCATAATTCTATGCTCATTCTCTATTTGATCCCATCCAGTCCAGTGATTTTCAATGCCATATATATGTCAATGACTCCCACACTGAGATCTTCCAACCTGATTTCTCACTTCCAATCCCTGTTGTAGGCTTACATACACAACTTTATATAACTGCCCACTCAACATCCCTGTTTGAGTGTCAGACTTAATATGACCCAAACAAAATTATCAGTTTGGTGTCAACAATAGCAGCAAACAGAAGAGAGAAGTAAATCACTATGGCATAGCAAAAACCTCTTCGTGGGATACTAGGTAGGCTTTTGAGTGCACACATGGCCCTCCCCAAGTCTAACAATATGACACAGATAAAAAAAACAGTTCTCTACATGATCACCAAATGTCAGGTGTACCTTCATGAGGGCCCTCAATCCAGAGGTCTTTTTATTCACTATTTTTGAAGAATAAACCTCTAGCCAGAGTGGAGGAGGGAAAGTTGCCTAATTACCTGGGGCAGGGGAAGAAATTCCTGAAGTTCCACTGCATTTTCAACAGATTTTCAACCAGCGTCTGTGTTTTACTCTCACGTCCCCATGTCCAAAGGCGCCTGGTGCCACCAGTTCCTGGTCTTTGGGTCTTTCCACAGCTTAGATGAAGTTGCTTATCAGCTTTCCTCACTTCCCTTTTAGGACTAAGCTTTCTCCCATCTGCTAATTTCGTCATCATTTTCCCATTTGCTTTCCAATTTAAGCAGCTTTGTGGGCTGTTGTCTCTTTTCCAATTTTCTTTAGTGTTTAAGTCTTTTTTTTTTTTTTTTTTTTTGAGACAGGGTTTTTCTCTGTCACCCAGGCAGGAATGCAGTGGCATGATCTTGACTGACAGCAGCCTCCACCTCCCCGGACTCAGGTGATCTTCCCACCTGCAATACCACACCCAACTCATTTTTTGTTTTTTTTGTTTTTTTTGTTTTTGTTTTTTTGGTAGAGGTGGTGTTTCGTCATATTGCCTAGGCTAGTTTCAAACTCCTGGGCTCAGAGCATCCACCTGCATCAGCCTCCCAAAGTGCTGGGATTACAGATGTGAGCCACCATGCCTGGCCTTTAAGTCCTTTTTAATAACACTTTTTACTGTACTTTAGTGAGCTTTCAGGAGAGAGTAGAAGCTAAATAGCAATCTTCCGATTTTAACCAAAATTCAAGACTGTAATCCATAGAGACGAAATCCCATTTGAAGAGGAAGGGCAAGAAGGAGCGAAGGTAGGGCCATGGGAGCCCCTGGGAGCCTCAAAATCCACCCAGATCCACACACTATTCAGAGTTCCCTGGGAAGCCCTGAAACCTCAGTTCTCACTAATTAGCCCACAGGATTGCCCTGGGGAACTCACATTTCGGTTCACTCAAGCACAGCACTTAAGCAACTATCTTGAGATAAATCCTTTAATATCCGTACAATCCAACCCTTTCCAGGCCTTTTACTTATAAGAACAAAGGGGACTGCAAAGAAAGCAGCCAAAGTTGGAAAATAGGTGCCCTGAAGGCACATTTAGTAATTATGCCTCAGGTGTACCCTGTTGAACATCCATTCCTAATGATTCCTCACTGTCTACAAACACAGCTGAGACATCAGATAGAGATTGAGTACCTCTATTTTATCAGACTGACTTAGATCTGATTAATCTAAATTCCCATATACTTATAGAAATGCATGCCCTGACTCTGCTTTTGAAACCTGGAACATCACTAGGTTCTCTTTCTTTTTTTTTGAAACAGGGTTTCACTCTGTTGCCCAAGCTGGAGTGCAATGCTGCGATCTCGGTTCACTGCAACCTTCAATTCCCGGATTCAAGCAATGTTTGCACCTCAGCCTCCAGAGTAGCTAGGATTACAGGCGCCTGCCACCACACCTGGCTAACTTTTTTGTATTTTCAGTGGAGCCGGGGTTTCACTACATTGACCAGGCTGGTCTCGAACTCCGGCCTCCAGTGATCCACCCGCTTTGGACTCCTAGAGTGCTGGGATTACAGGCGTGAGCCACCGTGCCTGGCCTACTCAGTTCACTTTATTTTTTTATTTTTTGAGATGGGGTTCCGCTCTTGTTGCCCAGGATGGAGTGCAATGGCGCGATCTCAGCTCACCGCAACCTCCGCCTCCCGGATTCAAGTGATTCTCCTGCCTCAGTCTCCTGAGTAGCTGGGATTACAGGCATGTGCCACCATGCCTGGCTAATTTTTTGTATTTTTGGTAGAGACAGTGTTTCTCCATGTGGTCAGGCTGGTCTTGAACTCCTGACCTCAGGTGATCCGCCCGCCTCAGCCTCCCAAAGTGCTGGGATTACTGGTGTGAGCCACCGTGCCAGGCCATACTTAGTTCACTTTCAATAGATTTTCCTTTCAATATCTACTTCAGTGAATCTAATAGATTCAACAGTTGAAGGCAGGAAAATCATGAAGTTCCTGTTGAAGAGCTCCAAAGGATCTTTTGCCTTTTACTTATTCTGGAATGAGGGAGTTCAGACAGGGAGCATCTCCTTTGCTTTCTGCAGGGAGTTTGCCAACTGAGTTTATCACAGCACCAGCCTTATCCGAAAACCAGGTTTTGAGCTGTGTTCATATTAGAAGCACCCTGGGCCAGGCAGCTTAAGACCAGGAGTTTGAGACCAGCCTGGACAATGTGGCAAAACCCTGTCTCTACACAAAATACCAAAATTAGCTGGGTGTGGTAGTACGTGCCTGTAGTCCCAGCTACTGGGGGGCAGGGGTGCTGAGGCAGGAGGATGGCTTGAGCCCAGGAGGTTGAGGCTACAGTGAGCCACGATCATGCCACTGCACTCCAACCTGGGCCACAGAGTGAGACCCTGTCTTCAAAAAAGAAAAAAGAAAGAAAAAAAGACCGGACATGGTGGCATGTGCCTGTAATCCCAACTACTTGGGAGGCTGACGTGAGAGGATCACTTGAGCCCAGGGGGCAGAGGGAACAGCTCAGGAAAAGTTTCAGTATTTCTTATTATATATAATGAGAGACAGAGCCTTGTGTTAGAAAACAAACAAACAAATGAACCTTTTTTTCTCTAATGTCTCGCTACAACAATCAACACAGAAGACTTGTCACCAGACATGTGGAGATGTCCCCCCACACACCAAGCAGAGGACACCAGCTGAGCGTCTTCCAGTTTAATTCAATTCTGACGTTATCTTCCTGGATAGCCTCAGAAACCACAGGTTGAGGGCTCAGTCCCCCAAGTCTGCCTCGCCCCTTCTCACCATTCACAAGTCCATGCCTCAGGAACTTCTGACCAACAGGCTTCAGGTTGGGGTTCCCACAAACTCCTCTTTGGGTTTGATTAATTTGCTAAAGTGGCTCATACAACTCAAGGAAACATTTAAGTTTACTGGTTTATTATAAGGATTTTTTTTAAATATGAATAAACAGATGAAGAGATATTGACACATACCTACATACTGAGAGGTCTGGAAGGGTCCTGAACACAGGAACTTCTGTGCCTGAAGAGTTGGTTGAAATAGTTCTTTTTATTTATTTTGAGATGGAGTTTCACTCTTATTGCCCAGACTGGAGTGCAATGGCGTGATTTCAGCTCACTGCAACCTCTGCCTCCCAGGTTCAGGCAATTCTCCTGCCTCAGCCTCCTGAGTAGATGGGATTACAGGCACCTGCCACCACGCCAGCTAATTTTGTATTTTTAGTAGAGACGGGGTTTCTCCATGCTGGTCTTGAACCCCCACCTCAGGTGATACACCCGCCTCGGCCTCCAAAAATGTTGGGATTGAAAGGAATGAAAGAAATCAGGCACATTCTTCAGCCCAGGCACATTCCTCAGCCCCGGGCTCAACTTCCCGAGCCCAGTACAAACACATCCCACCATACATCTTTCAACACAAACAGGCCCAGTACAAACACATATCTCTCAATTTCCTGAGCCCAGTACAAACATCTCCGATAAGGACACAGCCGTTTGTAGTTTTACTGAAAGCGCGGGAACCAATTAAAAAAAAACTACTAAATGTAAATGTAAACCAATTGTAATGCTGTAACCAGAAGAATTCCTTTGTTCCTCTGTAACTTTACTATCCTATCTACCTCGGGCTATAAAAGGCAAGCACTCGCATTGTTCAGGGCCCTCTTGTATGCTGTGGAATGGAGGGACAAAGTTCGAACTTGCAGTGAAGATCCTTGCCACTTGGCTTTGACTCTGGACTCTGGTGGTCTTCTTTGGGGAACAAACGGACTAGGCATAACAGGATTAAGGGCACGAGCCACCGCGCCTGGCTGTTCAACGAGTTCTTATTCACCTTCCTGTCAGCCTCCATGTGTTTAGGTCTCCAGAACTCCCTAAACCCTGTCCTCTTGGGCCTTTCATGGAGACTTCTTGGATAGGCATGACTGAAGCAGGGACAACCATGTTGAAATGTGATTGGACAAAAAGGGAATGATCTAAACCCAGCAAGGCCTGTCTGTTCAGATTCTTCTTGGCTCTTCAGTGCAGCATTCTTACCTCCAGGTTATGAGGCAGAACTTCCTCTGGAATGGAGAGTTTTATGACTCACAATTAGAACCCTGTGTCAGGCAAGTGAAAGAAGGCGAGAGAAGGTCAAAGAGAGAGAGTCTGTTTACTGTGACATGGGCTATGGGAGTTATAAGTCACGAACCATGGATGAAAACGCATATATTGGCCAGGTGCTGTGGCTCACAACTGTAATCCTATAGCACTTTGGGAGGCTGAGGTGGGAGGATCACTCGAGCTCAGGAGTTCTAGAACAGCCTGGGTAACATAGTGAGACCTCATCTCTAAAAAAAAATAAATAAGTAAATAAAACACACACATACACACACACACACACACACATGAAAAATAGTATCACAAGTTCCTGGGAAAGCAAAATGGATGGGTGTGTGTCTAACCTAATGGTCTGCAACCTGGCCTACAGAGGAAGCTGGAAGAGTTGAAGGAGAGTATTCTGGGCTATTAATTCCTGGCTAGTAGAAATGACCAGAACAGCAGAACTGCATTGCACTGGGCATGCTCAGCCAGACAGGCAGAAATTGTTGAATTTTTGTTGCAACTTGGAGTGCCAGTGAATGATAAAGGCGATGCAGGTTGGTCTCCTCTTCATACTGCAGCTTCCACTGGGCAGGATGAGATTGTAAAAGCCCTTCCGGGAAAATGTGCTCAAGTAAATGCTGTCAGTCAAAATGGCTGTACTCCCCTACATTATACAGCTTCCAAACACAGGCATGAGATTGCTGTCATGTTACTAGAAGGCGGGGCTGATCCAGCTGCCGAGGACCATCGTGAGGCTACAGCAATGCACCAGGCAGCAGCCAAGGGTAACTTGAAGATGATTCCTATCCTTCTGTACTACAGAACATCCACGAACATCCAGACACTGAGGGTAACACTCCTCTACACTTAGCCTGTGATGAGGAGAGAGTGGAAGAAGCAAAACTGCTGGTGTCCCAAGGAGCGAGTATTTACACTGAGAAGAAAAGACACCCCTGCGAGCGGCCAAAGGTGGCCTGGGTTTAATACTCAAGAGAATGATGGAAGGTTAAACAGCTTGGATTTATTCTTACCTTTTTTTTTTTTTTTTTTTTTTTGAGACAGTGTCTTGCTCTGTCACCCAGGCTAGAGTGCAGTGGCACAATCTCGGCTCACTGCAACCTCCGCCTCCTGGGTTCAAGCAGTTCTCCTGCCTCAGCCTCCCGAGTAGCTGGGATTACAGGCATGTGCCACCATGCCCGGCTAATTTTTTGCATTTTTAGTAGAGACAGGGTTTCACC